CAAGAATACATTAAGATTACGATATTTAATTAAGCACGGTGACTAGGTATATTCCTATCCTAACCACAAATTCGCCCCCTAAGGGTTAAGATCATGCTCTCTTCAATTCTTCTCTAATCTAAACATGACTTTCCCAAGCATAACATCGATAGTAAATAGAACCTAATTGCTGGCCAGACAATTAAGCAATTAATCATAGAATTGAAGAAATAACCATATATTAGTGAATTATAATCAAGGTTAAGTCAACGTTAAATAATAATATTCATGGCTAAATCACAACCCCAGAATTATGGGTTTTTAGCCACTTATGATAATAGCAAACAATTTCATAAGTGTTGGATAATTGAAAATACTAAGAAAAGATGAAGAAAATTGAGATCTCTTTGCTCCTAGATGTTTCTCGTGTCTATTCTCCCTTCAAAGTGGCGTCTCCCCTCTAAAAATAAGCTTAGTCTTACTTTTATACGTGTTGGGTAGGTCTAGGGCCGAAATAACCTTGTCACAGGCAAAATTGGACAGGATTCACGCCACCAGCGCCCAGCCTAGCGCTAGGCGCTGTCCCTGGCAAATTGGAGTATACTGCCTCTGGCGCCACAGGTAGCGCCAGCCGCTGGTTGTGGCGCTGGAAATTCTCTTTTTTTGTTTTTTCGTCCGTTTTAGTTCTAATCTCGCACCTTTCGCCCCCAATTGCTCCCGCATCATTCCTACACATAAAAATACCTCAAATTAAATATAAATCAACACATTTTACATCCTAAATCCATGAAACAAAAGTAAAACATGAGGCGATATACATCTAAATATATATACTTTAAGCCAAACATCACCGGCCTTATGGTGAAATCAGTGATTCAATTAAATATATTGCTTTTCACTCGAAATGTGTTTACATATGCAAAAACATGTAGAACATATATTTATTATAAGATCACACTCATTTTAAAATCATTCTAGATTTTAGATCCGACTCTATTTTCTTAGATTGCTCTTACATCTACGACGTCCTATTATCTGAAACTCTAGTACATTTGCTACGAATTATGTTGAGTTATACTTGACCATTCATATTAGTATGTCTAAAGAAAAAACAAAGTATTTATCAAGTGCTGATTCAAACTTTTGTTTTAACCCAAAAAAAAAAAATAAAAATCTACGGATTTAGTTCTTTGCAAATGCTGACATGTAATTGTGTCTACTTGCCTAGAAAGAGAAACTTAGTATGTATATACAATTCAACACTTCTCTATTTGGTTTTTCAGTATCCTAGAAGTATTTTGGATGTACAGTTATACTAAAAAAAGTTTCAATGTTTTAAAAGTTAATTTTAATTATGCACATTTGAACAAATCTTTTTAACGTGATAAAATTTAAACTTTCTACTTTGTGCAAAGCCAAAAAAAGCCCCGGCACTCAATTGGATCAGCGAGCATTAATATTTTTTGTCTAAGAACAGGCCATAGCTTCTTTGGCAAAAGTCTAATGAACATCAACTTTTCAAGTAAAACTATAGCAGTAATAAAAAAATTATAAGTATAAGACTAAGAAAAAGCAAAATATAAAACAAGTTTAACTAAACTACCAAGAAATACTATAATCTTGTGATGAGAAAGAGTCAAAGAAAGAAGAGCCTAATTTCACTCAAATCCAAGATAATGTCATCCACCATATTTGAGAGGTAAAGAAATTTAATTTTAGCTCCTAATATTTGGATCTCCCAATCACGTGTCATTAAGTTATCGGTGTAATAGCAGAATTCTAGTACGTACTAATAATTTTCCACATGAAAAAGATAGCAAATTCTCTATTACAAGCTGAGACAGAGAGGGTGCCTTTTTTGTTTGTTTGATCTCAATAACAAAGCAGGTTAGATACAAGAGGGCAGAAGAGCTTTGTTGATAAAAGTATTTTTTTCTCTGCCATATTTCTAACTCTGACAAGTTATTGAGATTGAAGATTTCCAGGCTTCTGTAAATAATAATAAGGAGAAACAAAGTACTTAAAAGATAACAATGGCATTCACAGGAACTTTGGATAAATGCTCGGCTTGTGATAAGACTGTTTACTTTGTTGATTTGTTGTCTGCGGATGGTGTTACTTATCATAAATCCTGCTTCAAATGCAGCCACTGCAAAGGCACTCTTGTGGTATGTACATTTTCTTTTTCTATTTTCTTCCCCTTTTCTTGACCCTCCTCCTCCAATTTCCTGAAATAATCAATCAACTATACCTCAATCCCAACNTATATTGAAGGCACATAATCTTGAATGCATGTTACATTATATTATGGCTTTAAGAGAGATCAAGTTGTTAAAGAATTCGAATTGTTGGCCAGTTATTAATAATTTATTAATCATTATTATATCTCCATTTTTTTGTGTTTCTTTTTTCTGTTCTTAGACAAGAGGGGTTGCTCTGATGGTAAGCAACCTCCACTTCCAACCAAGAGGTTGTGAGTTCGAGTCACCCCAAGAGCATGGTGGGGAGTTTTTGGAGGGAAGGATGCCGAGGGTTTATTGGAAACAGCCTCTCTACCTCATGGTAGAGGTAAGGTCTGCGTACACACTACCCTCCTCAAACCCCACTAGTGGGATTATACTAAGTTGTTGTTGTTGTCTTTTTTCTGTTATTACATTTAGGATAGTAGATTAGATAAACTGTCATTTGTTGTTTTTTTTCAGATGAGCAACTACTCTTCCATGGAAGGAGTCCTCTACTGCAAGCATCATTTCGAACAGCTTTTTAAGGAATCTGGAAACTTTACCAAGAATTTTCAGAATTGTAAGACATCCTTTTTAATTAATTTAGTACATTGTTTGAGCAGAATTAATTTACTACTCTTTCAGAATTAGTTTTGCTAAGCCTATTTTATCTTCATTTTTACTAATCGTCTACATTGTTCCAATTAACGTTTGAGCAGCTAAGGCTGAGAGGCAAAATTCACTGGTACGTTTTGTTTGTATCTCACAACTTTACATTTCTACCATCAGATTTGACTTTTATATACCACCGTTAATTTTCTTCGTTTGTGTTTGTTAAGAAAAGAATACACTATTGTTTTAGCATGGGAAATTAAATAAACAAATTAATATTTTCTTTTTATATTAATTTGTGCAGACAAGGGCTCCAAGCAAACTCTCTGCTATGTTCTCTGGGACCCAAGATAAATGTGCTGCTTGCGACAAAACTGTTTACCCACTTGAAAAGGTATAAAACAATCATCTTTTGATTAAATAAAAGGTTTATGATATTAGTGAACGACTCAATTAATCAGCAATTCTCAATTCAAACATCATTAGACTATTCTGGTCATAACCCTCTTTCTTTATGCGAACTAATTGGACTGGCTATGCTTTGCTCAAATAGGCGGAGTTTATGTTATAAATGAATTGATTAACTGATAGTATAAATAACATTTACATTATCAATGCACTTAACCGATCGACGTTACGATATTTCTAGGTTACCGTATGACGAATTACATGTTTTTATAAGTCAACTTAATCTAAACGATGTAAAAAGATTATACGCGACTCACAATGCATAAAACTTAAACTCATAACGATATTACAGGTGACAATGGAAGGAGAATCATTCCACAAATCATGCTTCAAGTGTGCACATGGAGGGTGTCCACTTACCCATGCAACATATGCTTCCCTTGATGGAAATCTCTATTGCAAACACCATTTTGCTCAGCTCTTCATGGAAAAAGGAAATTACCAGCATGTCCTCAAAGCTGCTAATAATAAGAAGAGTAGTGCTGCTGTAACACCGGTAAATGAGACTGAAGAAAATGCAGCTGAAGAAGAGAATAATAAGGAGCCTGAAAATGCAGAGGAACCACAACAACAATCATAAAAGAAACGTGCCCTCGATTTCTCCCCTTATATATCTTACAATTGATCCTTTCTATCTATTTTGATCCAATATATATCTTTGTGTTTCTGATATGTTTTATAAAAAAAAAGTTTTCCCATTTGTTTATATATATCCAAGGCAACCCTCATATGTAATTAAATTTTATTGTCTGGATTTAATATTCCTTTAATTTGTTAATACATAAACATTTTCTGCATTAATGTTGTTTCAAGGTATTCACATTCATTATATTGGTGTTAAGTTTTTGTGAAAAATACTTATTTGTGATTCTTAGAATTATTCCACCATTTCCTCTTAAAATTAGTTTAAAAGCTCTATTGTTTGGAGAAGAAAATAGAAAAATTCAGAATTTACTGAAATACAGGTAAATAAGTCATCAGCAGTCCATTACATTACAGACACTCAAATGCACGTACGCCCAGAATCTTAAACAAACTTCAAGTACAACGCCAATATTCATCAGACATACACAATTTACAGTGTAACAAGCTAGCTAGTTATGAGCTGTCTACAAAACATGAAATGATCCAGATGTGTCTAAGAGGAAAAATGACAGTACACAGCACTAATTAACTAATCGTTACAGACATATCAAGACATAAATATTGCATGAAGTGATCGACCTTTTCTATTAATGGACCCAAAATAAACAACCACTGTGTATCTGAGATATAAAAACAGGAACAATGAAAAATCTGGTATTAATTTTCATAAACAAGCTACGGCCGTCTTTAATACGTCGACCATATATCACTAGCTAGTTAGAAACTTACTACAGATATATCTAGACGTAAGAAAAATTCAAAATATATTGAGAAATCATATTGTAGTACATGTTTGTAACTTTATCTAAGAGCTAGCATGGGATTAAACTACATTATCTAGCAAATATATACTCTAACAGAAATTGATAGTATCGAGATCGACATCTTCTGCGGAAGCCCACAAAGTAGCATGTTGATGGTCTTCGACTTGGTATTCCATATTCTCTTGATCATCCTTTGCTATAGTATCATTCGACATTATTATTCCATTGTCTTCAGCTTGAACATCTTCTGATTGCAGAACGGAATCAATATGTTCTTCCAGTAAATGGACTTGGCCTTCACCCCCCTGATCTACGCAATATTGAACATTCTCATCATCCACGTCATTAACAATATCCNATCCTTTGCTATAGTACCACTCGATCTTATTCCATTGTCTTCAACTTGAACATCTTCTTGCAGCACGGACTTGATAAATTCTTCAATTTCTCTCATCTTCTCATCATTAACTACCTCCTCAATATTGTTTCCTTTTTTCTTGTCACCAGGTTTGCCCTTCTTCTTGATCTTACAAATTACAAAACCTTTGTTCTTAATCTCCCCAGCAACCAGATAACGATCAAATAAAGAGTACTCAGTCATCAACCACTCGCCATTCACGTTGTTTGACGATTTATTAGCGGGGATGTACTTCAAACTTTTCACGTAGCCCATGAGTCTCCCTTTATCATCAAACACATCTCGACCTTTGTTTTGAAGCTTCCAAGTGCCCTTCCCAACAGTTCTTGAAACTCTTTTCCACGTAGGTTTCTCTTTCTTTTGCGGAGTTATGAAGTAACGAGTGTTGTTGTTGTTGTTGTTTCCCCTATCATAAGCTTCAAAAATCTGCCATGGCTCCTTGTCGGCGTAGAGATCCGCCACTTGCATGAGTTCATTCTGAAGGGGAAGTGGCTCGTTTCTCACAAACCCTACTAGATACTTGAGCACTTCCCTGTCCGTCGGATGAAAGCGATGACCCATCGAACGATGAGAAGAAGAGTTTTCTGCCATTGTACTGCTGATCAAATATTGACGGATCGGACGATGGATATGATATGAAACAGAAAAAGAAACAAGCTGAGAGAGAACGGAAGCAAAATAGCTGAAAACTTTAGTTGTTATGTGATGAAGAACTATAGTTGTTAAACCCTAAAATGGTGATACTGATGAGTTGTTTCTAATTTGCTAATAGGGTTTTAGTAACTATTTATAGATCAAGCTGATGGAAATCCCATTCCTACTAATAAATGGCTTGCTTTCTTCCATTTCTTTTGTTTCGTAAACTCATTTCCTGATATTTTGCTCCTCGAAAGGTTGTTAGGGTTTTACTAATAAATAATTATGTAATTTGTAACTTATATTACTAATACAAACAATAAAGTTTAAAAAATAGTTTCATGACTTTATTATAACGTGTAAAGCACGTGTGAAATTAACCCCATTCTTTAGGGCATATTTTCAGTTTTTTCTTTTCTTTTAGCATGCTTAATTAGGAATTTAAAATGTAGCTTTTCTTATTTATTTTTTTATTCGTCCATTAGTTTCCTAACTTTTTTCTATTAGTATGTAAGTTTATTGGAATGTTTATTAGTAGGGTTGTACCGGTGGAAAAAGATGTCACACGTGGAATTTAACTGAGCTGACAAAGCATGACACGTGGAACAATGGTGAAGTGACAACTGACATACTCAATTAGTGAAATTAAGAATGCAAGGAAGATACAGATCAAACACCCACGAGATAGTAAAGAACAGATGACCGAGCCTAAACAAATGTCAAAGACGAGGCGCGAACAGAATGAATCAAGGCCAAAAAGGAGGAAAGATCCATGAACCAGTAATAAATAAGGAAAGTGAATCAGAATCGTTATAAGGAATTTATAGCTACGAATGCGTCAGTTATGGTTATCAACAATAATGAGCGATCAATACCATTAATGCTCATAATGAATTCGTCATAAATAGGGAAAAACATTATGATTAGACATTCCTATATAAGGATAGAGAATCTCGCTTGTACGGACAAGTTCCAAGCATTCCTGAAATATACTTACAATTTCTTGCTTTACCGAAGTCTTCTACTTAATTTGAGGGATCAACTGTCATTCCTTATTTCTTTTTGCTAATTTATATTGTTATTTCTTTCTTTTCAATTGGATTGTTGAGGAAGTAAAGTATCATTTGGTTATCAAATCCTATTTTTTGGTAAAACAAGGGTCACTTCGAAAAGGTTGTATTTTCTAGGTATAGGTTAGGCAACGAGGGAATACTTTCTTGAGGCGTAAGCAAGCTTCGCTCTTTAAGCTTATATATTTAATTTTTTAATAAATAAAAATCACTATTAGAAATCCGGTAAAAATCGACCAAAACAACCGACCAATGTTGGTCGGTAATGACAAAAAACCGACTAAAACGCGACCATTTACGTATGGCCGGTATTTTTGTGGTCGGAAAGGCATACCGACCAAAGTTGGTCGAAAATTACCAACCAACTTTGGTCGGTCAATTAAATTCAAAAAAAAAATATTGCAAAAAAAAAAAAACCGACCAAAGTTGGTCGGTATTTTAATTATGTAATAAAAAGATTCACCATCTGGGAATCGAACTGGGGTCTGTACTGTGGCAGGATACTATTGTATCACTAGACCATTGGTACATTTTGTTTTAAGACTTTCTTTTATTTGATTTATACTCTTTAATTATATTTTCGCACGAAAATAACCGACCAAAGTTGGTCGGTTTTATTAAAAAGTAAAATTACCGACCAAAGTTGATCGGTTTTTTTAAATGACCGGCCGAATTAACTGACCAATTTTGGTCGGTTTTTTTAATATTAATTTTTATTTATTTTAATTGAAAAACCGACCAAAGTTGGTCGGTTTCTTGAAACATAAATTTCGCGGGACTCAAAAATAGTTTCCCGCATTTTTGCGCCAAAGAAAACCGACCAAAGTTGGTCGGTTTCGTAAAAAAAAGAATTTTAAAAAAATATTTTGAAAAACCGACCAACTTTGATCAGTTTTTTGACCGACCAAAGTTGGTCGGTCGACCTTGATCGGTTTTTGCCGAATTTCTAGCAGTGAATTATTTTGCTTTTGCTATATATATGGAGATTAGATTTTAATCCCATCCCATCTATATAATTTTTCTCTTCATTGGACTACGAGTTCAGAAACGTTCCTTAAAAAAAATTCTAGCTCAGTTCTATTTTATTTTACAAAAAAAGAAAGTACTAAGGAAGTTAAGAGAAACTTTTATGTCTAAAATTCATCAGGTCATTAGCTAGGATGCTTAAACTGTGAAAGAATATTCATATTTCATTCTTTCTTGCTTTAAATATTGCCAAATGAACCACCATATTTGTTAGGAAATAAGAATCATCTTTCTGAAAGAATCTTAATAGACTATTACAGAAACATAAGAAAAATTCAAAATATATTGATAAATCATAGTATTGTAGTACAGGTTTGTAACATTATCTAAGAGCTAGATTGGGATTATTAAACTACATTATCTAGCAAATATATCCTATGACTAACAGAAATCGATAGTATCCAAATTGACATCTTCCGCCGAAGCCCACAAAGTAGCATGTTGATGGTCTTCGACTTGGTATTCCATATTCTCTTGATCTTCCTTTGCTATATCATTCGACGACATTATTCCATTCTTTTCTTGAACATCTTCGGATTGCAGAACAGAATCAATATATTCTTTAAGTAAATGGACTTGGACTTCATCCCCTGATCATCTAGGCAATCTTCAACATTCTCCTCATAATCATCCGCATCAACAATATCCTTCGGGGAAGCTTTGGCCGAACACCTTAACTTTGGGGGAAAAACACTTTTGGTTAAAAAAGAACTTTTAGCCCCAAAAAAGCACAACCAAACATGCTATAAGAATGACATGACATACTCCCTATGTTTAAAAAAGATTGACATTATTACTATTTGAGAAGTCTACGAGGTTATTCTTTGACCATGGTTTTCTTAGATATTTTATAAATAGTTTGAATTATGAATTATAGTAATACTTTTTATGTAATTTATGAAAATTATATATTTTATTTTAAAAAACTTGAAGAATCTATGTCCAAATTCTCATTCAAAGTTAAGTACTTTGACCCTCGTACTCTGAATTATGCCAATCTTTTTTAAACGGAATGAGTATTCTATAAGACCAAAAAATTTAAAGGGTTTTCTTGATATATGCCTGTGAACCGTGCCATTATTATAGTTTTAGACGAAGAACTGTGTTATAAATTCTGTTAATCTATTTTCACAAGTGCTCCAAGTCTTTGATGGTCAACTACCTCCCCGACCTCTTAATCTATATGTCAACCAGCACGATCACTATAGAAGAATGAGAATAAAATTTGGCAAATTCAGTTCACTAAATCTGATTTATGGCAGAAATATTTAAGTAATACCTTGCTGCTACTACTCCCAAATTTCAATAGATAGCAATGTGGTTTCGTATAACAAGGAATGAAGATTCCTCTAGCCCACTCTACACAAAGTGGCTGTTTGGTAGGATGTATTAGGAAGAATAATACATGTATTAGCTTTAATATTATTAATCCTTTGTTTGATAGTGTTTTTGAACCTATGTATAACTAATACATGTACTATTCAGTACTATTCTTACACTCATATATAGCAAATCACAAGATTAGCAATATCATAATTTTTAATAGATGAATAACATGTATAAAGACATAACTGCCCTTTCATAACCTTTTCCAAAATGTCGGAGGGTATTATTGTAAACAAATATTTTTTTTTTAAAATTATGCAATACATGTTATTTTAAGTACACCAAACTTAAGAGTCGACAAGAACTAATCCAATCGTAACTAATCTCCTATTCAGTACAGAAGTTGTGAAGAGAAACTTATGTTTAGGCGTGCATACATGTCAAGCTCTGTAGAAGATTATTGCTCAATAGACAAGAATGCTACAACAGTAATATTGCCTTACTTCATGTTGTATTGGTGGAAAAAACATATGACACGTGGAACTATCAACAAGGTGACATGGCATGGTACATGGAACATCGATATAGTGACAAATGGCATTCTTAATTAGATGAGTTAAAGAATGCGAAAAAGGCAAGGGGAAGACACCCACTAGGTTACACTGAGGAAAAAGACGGACCCGACAACTATAAAAGGGGAAACAACAATAAAATAAATAAAGGCTGTAAAGAAGGGAAGATACACGAACCTGCAATAAATAAGGAAGGGAAATCAGTACGATTACAAAAAATCGTTAACCATAAATACTGATGTTACAATTGTATATGGTGATGGGCAATCATGGCAATAAATGCTATTAGTGAACCCGAATTAAGTAAGGGAACCGTTATAAATATATGTTCCTATATAAGGACTGAAATCTCATTTGTAATGACATCTAATAATTATTGAAACTTATGCAATTATTCTTTACCTTATTCTCAAAGTTCTAAACCGTAATTTTGGGAGTGATTACCAATCTATTTCATATTTTCTTTGTCAATTATTTTCATTCCTTGATTTATTCATCAAATTGTTGGGAAAGTGAAGTAAATCTTGGTTATCAGTAATCTGATTTCTTCTAGATATTGACTTTGACCGAAAAATCTATTTTTGGATTAAACAAATTGGTTCCGTTACCTGGAATCTGATAATCTGTTCACTTTCCAAACTCCATTTTTAACAACCAAGTATGTCAACCGTTAACGGGAACAACCAGCTGAACCAACAAGGTGGAACTCCACCACACCACACACCTACGGGATCCCCTTAGCAATCCCGTAGAAGTTCACCTGAAAGGTTTGCTTCGCGCGCTGATGATCAGCAAGGAGATGACCAAACCGTGGAGCAGGATGCTCTAAAGCAATTGATTGCAGAACGCATGAACAGTGCACTACAAGCTTTTGTCAGAGGATTACCCAATACGGCGCAAACTCCTCCACCAGTTAATACAACAACTTTGGAGAACCCGTGTTTAGGGCTTGATAATTATG